AGGATGAAATAAATTCTAGCAGAGCCCAAAGCGTCATCAAATATCCGTATTTTTGTTGGAAAGGTCTGAATAAAACAAATTAAAAATTACTAAAGGCAATTAATAAATTATTAAATTAAAAAGTAAATAAACTAAGAAATTACAAAAAGTTCCTTGATAATAAAATTATTAACATACGATTGATGTAAATTAAGAGAATGTAGGTACAAATACATCTTTCTGAAGTAAATAAATTAGTTTTATTTAATGCGTACTTTAACAAACTAAAAAAATCACACAGTTACAATTACATTTACAGTCTTAAACAGGGTGACCAATAGAAAAAAAGAATACAATTATTAAATTAAAAATTCTTAAGTACTAGTTGTGATTAAAAATAAATACAGAAATGATTTTTATTATTCCAGATAATATTGTAACACTTGTTGGAATTTCTAGTATTCCGTACAACATTTCGCAGTGAAGGAAGAAAATTCTGTGTAATTTACTTAATATAAAAATGTCTTTTTAGATAAAAAAAAGCTGTAACTAATCACTGGTGCGCTCTCATTATTCTCTACACATACTTATAAACTTCTTTCTAAATATTTTTCTTTCGTATTGGTGTATTTCTGGCAGTTAATTAATTCTACTCTGTAGCAAAACTACAAAAACTGTAGTACAGCTCTTCTAGAGATCTTTCCATAAAAAAACATAAAATCTACTATCACGAGTACGTATCAATAATATAATTGATCCATGGCAAATAATTGTAGACCATCGTGTAAATACCATATTTATTCTTTCGTCCGCATCCGTCTCCAAAGCTGGTTATTCCCTGAACCGCGAAACCCTTTTTTAGGCTGGCATTGCCCATAGGACATACAAGACCGCCGCCGCTGTCTCCTGCACAAGTATCAGCAGCCCCCGATTGCCAACCAGCGCAAAACATATTTTTTGTAATTAGGTACCGTTTATATGAATTTTTGCACGTTTCAAAACTCACAATTGGTACCTGGAAAAAATATTAATCTCAAATTTACATAAGTAACGCCAAGTTTGTGAAGTTAAAGATTCTAATCAGTCTACCTCCATTAAAACTTTTTGAGATTTCCAAAGTATTTTTGTAGTATTACTACTTTGTTGTTTGGCAGTAGAATAATATCAAAAAAAAGCAATTTTCTCACTTTTTCATGTAACAGAAGAGGCGCATCGACGCAGCCAATAAACTGTATGATTCAGTGTTTAATAGGAAGATATACACTGTCTGCAGATGATATAGTACTGATGGCGAGACTGAAGAAGATGCTAGGGAGACCGGAAAATTTTTTTGGTAAGGAAAGTGCTGGAATTAAATAGTGAAAAGTCGAAGATTATGGAAATTGGAAAGAAGAGGGCAAAAAGGGATAGCGATAGGAGTGGAGATAGAAAACGTAACGAAGTATACTCACCTTGGATATTTATTAAGTGACAACAATAGAGATGAAGTGCATATGACAAACCAGGTTGTTAAAGGGAGGGCAATGATAGGAAGAGTTTTTTGGTCTAGAGCAGAAATTATGTATGGTAGACTGGGGTAGGTTAGGTTACTATATTATTAGTATTGTATTTTATGAGGTAGAAATATGGGGATTGAAAGGAAAAAAGAAGTAGAAGTGTTGTACAAAAGATTTATAAAGTGACTTTTAAGATTATACGCCAGATTACGTAGTAAGAAGGGAGACGAAATGTGGGAAGATGTGGGAAGAGGAATTAAAAAGGGTGGTGAAATATAAGGACTGTTAGGGAGACCGGCAGAGGGATATATAGGGAAGGAAATATAGAGGAAGGAAATGATGGAAATAGGGATAAAATGTAGATATGATAGAGAGAGAGAGGGAAGGAGCAGGAACAGATGAGAAAGTGGTATAAGGAGAGAGCAAAGGTAGGAGAAATGGTAAGTAAAAGATGCAGGGAGATAATAAGAGGAGAGGATTAAAGAAAAATAGGAATATCGAGTAATGTAGAGGGCGTAAAGGAGATAGTATGGAGGGACTGGAAAGGGGACTCGGTGTCAAGGTATTTAGAAAGAGAGAGGGAAATAAGTGTAATAGCAATATTTAGGAGTGTAGAGGAAGTTAATATTGGAAAAAAGAGGAAGAAAGACAATGCAGGACATGTGAGTACTTAAGTAACTAATAAACGTTAAATCTTTTTTTATTTTTTAAGGAGGCGCAGTCTAAGTTTTTTCTTTCTACTAAAGATACGTATAACATAAAGTAGTCTTTCTCAAAGTGGGCGCTAATAACCCCTTGTGAGCCCCGGGGGCCTACAGGGAACGCCCATTTGAAAGAGAAGCTTACCATTGTCACCGTAAACTGTAAACTATTACGAAACTAAAATTAGATGCTTATTACAGTTGTTTAAAAACAAATTTTGAAGATACAAACAAAATTTATTAACTTCTTAATCCTTTCACGACTAGCTTGACTGTATTAATCAGTTATCCTGTCAATATTCAGTTGGAATTCATTATCAGTGAACTGCAAAATCATTCTGCAATAAAAAAAACCTTGCCCTAGAATCTATTTTAAATATAGGTTTTAACTCAGAAAAAGGATAATACACATATGCCACACTAATTTAACGTAACTTCGGGGGGACACTAGAAACTAATTGATTCTCAATGTGGGAGTGTAGACGAAATAAGTTCGAGAATCTCTGATAAATAGGTTCATCTTACCTTAGCTTCGTGCAGTACAGAAGTACCATATTCGTCGGAAGCCTTCACCTTGCCCCAGCCCATGATATGGCAAAGTTCTTTCGTCACCGGTCTGCTATCTGGCATGCACGCAACGGGCAGTCTGGCGGGTCGCGGTAGACGTAGAAGAGCAATGTCGTTGTCCACCGTTTGGTGGTTGAACCGCGGATGGAGGAAGACCTTTTGCACTGGCATTTCCACTTCGCGACCGTCGAAGTAGCTTAGATCGTGCTCGTTGAGACGGACACGCAAGTAACTTCGAATGCAATGGCCCGCGGTCAACACCCAACGCGGTGCAACCAGCGTGCCCGAACAAAACACTTCCTAAATAGATTACCCATCATCATTATGACCTTTTAGCATGAAGCACTAAACTCCAAAATGCTATATAATAACGTTTAAAAAGCCTAAATCACGTTCCGATATCCAAGCTGTCGTTCTCAGTTACAGACTAAATTGTTTAAAAAGTTTAGAAGGTTATTATGTACTTAGAATCGCTAAACTACAAATATCAAAGAGTGGTGCATACTAAGGGGAAGAATTTGAGGGAGGCCAAACTAATGAATCTGAGTTTATATAATAAAGAGTAAACATTTAGCTGTATGTCTTGTATGTTAAGTAAAACCAGCTATAAAGTAAAATTCGTCGCCTTGATTAGAAGACAAAGAAGCAAACTTATCTGGCGAAATCGTTCAATACCAACAAAAATTAACTAGTCCTACTAGAGAGTGAGTTGTGGGAACTAATGTGAAGTTGACAATAATCTAAAAATATCCGGATTTTAGAATGAAACAATATCTGACTGACTTCTATATTTCTCAATATTTTCGTAAGAGTCTAGAAGGAAAGAATTACCAACGCTTCCAATTAAATTTAAACAACTAGGGTGTATTTGGTACATGGTTATCATCGAATTAAAAGTATGGCCATAAGTAAAAAAAACCTATTCAGTTCAATTTCTGTGTTTTTATCCTACATTGCAATGTATGTCGTAATGGTATCTTCACACGTAAACTACCCTAACGTCAAGCTTAATGTATGCAATACTTAATATTTTACACGCTTTCGTCCTAACAAGAAAACAATGAATCTTTTCAATCAATTATTTTATACGGGCCAACCTTAAACTGCTATAATTATTCGATTTAATGTCAAGCTACGTAATCCCGCACAGATCAATAGCCTCATCCTATTTAATCATTCATGCTAGAACGGTATAACAATAGAGAAATTCGTCTAGCGTAACAGTTTCATCAACTGACATTTCACATTGGTTAAGGTTAATAACATCGACAAACGGACAAACGGACAAATGGTTTAGATATTTTATTAGTCTCGAATACACACTCAAAAGAGTAAAAAAAATTTTAGCCGTATCAGTTTTTTCTTTTTGTTATTTGAAATTCTACAATCGCTTGGAACCTTGCGAAACATTTTTTGTTAATAAAATTTTTTTGAATGAAGAAAACATTATGCAAATTTAATAATGCTTATTTTATCTCTGACAATTGTTTCTATTATAACCGCATTTTCAAAAAGTTTAAATGTATTGTTTGGATAATATGGCACTGCTTTCTTATTTTTGTAATAATTGTAGCTTTAAAAAAAACATCCCTTTGCGCTGTAATATTTATGGTCCTTTTCTATGAATGATTAATTAAAATATTATTGTTTCATTTTCATATTTTTAATTTCATAAATAGGAATATGGAAATTTTCCGTTTTAAACTTCTATTGTCAACTTTTACCCTTTATAATTGATTTTAAGACAACATTTAATTAGGAGTTAGGAACTGGAATTATACATTAATTAAATGTGCTTAAAATCGAAGGGTGCCCTTTTCTGAATTACAGCTAAATTTGATAAATACAAAAATACAAAGACTCAAAAAGTGTTTATCAATCGTTTAATTGTAGACCCATTTTTAATTTATCGTATTTTGTTTCAAATATTTACTTACACGTTATTCTAGTACTAAAATGTAATAACGGAATGTTAAACTTATTTTGCGAAACTTTTAGAAAATCCGTCTCCTTTTCTTGTTGAATACTCGGACGACTTAGTATTTGAAGACGACAACTCATTACTTAATGTTTCCTTTTTTCCTTTTTCGAATAATTTCTGCTTGTTTTCAGTATCGATATTTTGCTTTATACGATGTATTAATTTTAACTTCATGGTTTAAATTAAAAAAAAAAATACTTTTGATGGAATATTTGTCAAAACAGGCTTTAAAATTTGTCAAGTTTTATGTGACGGTTAAATAAATCAAGTACGTCACAATAAAATTTGTTATTATGATTTTCAAACTGTATAAATCACAAGAATATAAAAAACTTTGTAGTTAATACGGAAGCAGGAAGGAACATCTAGCTCATCTTAGGTTAAATATAGAAAAATTTAATCTGTCTTCTCACTTATTTGATAATAATTAGTATGAAATAGGTATCCTAGTTGTTTAAATTAAATTAGCATCAGCGTCGATAATCCTAATGAACACAGTTAGCAGCCCTATATCATCCTAAACTCGACTATGCATGTCTACTTCTTCCCATCTTGAGCTAATCCTAGCATTTCCCGAAAACCAGAGCAATCTACATCCCTAAGTATTTGGTAAAAGACTTTGTCCCTTATTATCGAATTAAAATTAGATTCTACACTAAGCAAGTCCATGTATTTAGAGCGTATGAGTTTTTGCGACGGTTTTTTACTTTAAATATGGTTATAATTCTATTTTGTTTAATATTAAACTTTTATCTTTTGTTATCCCAGACTACACAGCAAGACTCAGTAGTGTGACGTCCCTCTAACCCACCCCTATGTGGGGGCATCGTTTTGAACGTTAAAAATTGTATGTTTTTATTTATAATTGCAGAATACGAGCGAGGAATCTATATAATCGCGGTAGACGTAGGAGAGCAATGTCGTTGTCCACCGTTTGGTGGTTGAACCGCGGATGGAGGAAGACCTTTTGCACTGGCATTTCCACTTCGCGACCGTCGAAGTAGCTTAGATCGTGCTCGTTGAGACGGACACGCAAGTAACTTCGAATGCAATGGNGTTTTTATTTATAATTGCAGAATACGAGCGAGGAATCTATATAATAATCTTTTAAATTTAGATTTAAAATTTAAATTTACCCAAAGATTTCAATATTAAATTCCCCATTTCATACTGTCTTTTCCTAAAATGACGTATGAAGCTAATGAATAAAAGATGTTATAATTGGTAAATTTGTTTAGTAGATTATTTTATTATGTAAATTTGAAAAAGTAAAACTACGCGCTTCCAGTTGTGAATAAAAAACTAATGATAATTAATTCCAACACGAGTATTCTACCTATCTAATCAATTGAAAGCTGAATGAATAATTCAAATATTTTTCATTTTTAACTCACGCACAAATCATAAATTAGCGCTTAATAAGCGATCAAGATTAATAACTTTTACGGGAACTAAAACTGAAATTTGTTCATATTTTTTGAATGGGGGTTATTATGGAAGTTGAAATTCTTATGATCCAAGTGAGACATTAGCCAATTAAATTAAACAAAAATATACAACACGTTTTAATTAGAACGGTGTTATTTCTGTTTTGCGAACATTTAAAATGCAAAGTATTGTCATAAATAATTTATGATGGTTGTTAATGTAGATATATTAACCAAAAGAATAAAACATTAATTAATTGTAATGTTAGTTTTAAGAAGGTAGGTAATTTGGAATCATATAATACGTATGTAAAATATTACAAATAGAGATTTTGACGCAAAAATATGTTTATGTACGACAGATTTATAGATAGGATTAGCAATTCTTTTGTTTACAAATTTTTATCTACAGTAACACAGTTCGTAGTTAAAAAATATTATTATAAGAGGTCAAGGAAGTATGCATATATACTTCGTCAAATGAATGTAAGTATGTACATACTTTATATAACTTACGATTAAATATTTTTGAAGTTTTTAGCGAAATAATGAATGACTAGTAATTAAATACGCGCAAATAAATCTTCAGCAGGTTAACATTTAATTTATGTTTCTTTATTACTATTGTACGAATTTTGGTAATTTTTTTTATTTACGAAACAATTTCATGGTCACATCATCACCATCCCAGATTTACATATATCAACAAATGACACCATACTACCATTTCACTGCATTAATTGTATACTGCAACTAGATTATCAGCACTGATATTATAGTATGTTTTCCTCTTCCAGTAGAATTTTATTTTGTTTTATTTTATCCAAATTAGTTTTCTCAAAAATTTCCAAAACTTGAATATAGAAGAATGAAGATTCGGGCGAGAGAGTGAAAGCGAGACTTCAAGATATAATCTACGTTCACGTTATCAACGCAGTACTACCACTGAGGATGTCAGCCGCAGTAGCTGACGAAACGTCTGGACAGAATAGTTCACTTAGACCATGGCCCTATAGCCCGAGCCTTCGTTCTACTATGGATTTCGGCCGTGAAAGCCTTTGTTCTCATATTTTAGTATAGAGTTTCAAAAAAGAGCGCAACAAATTCTATACTTACAGATTAGTTTACTTAAGAAACTACAAATATTTCTTATAACTTTTGGTCCACTCTGTATATTAAATTTATAAATTATAATAAACATTGCAAAATCTATGAGATCAGTAATTTGCATCCTCAGCTAAAACCGCTATCGTAAAGATGTTTTGTCTTTTTTGTGACTTTCTTTTGCAATTATTACTGGTCTAAAAGTTGTAATATTTATTTAAAAGAACTTACCAAGTATTTGTTCATTACAGCTATATGCCAAGGCCATTTGTTCTTCTTAGATTCAAAACCTCCAATTATCTTCAGCATTTTCATCTTCTTAAAAGGTTTTCCACATTCTGTCGCTCTGACGTCGGTTTCTTCATCGATCATGAAATCTTCACCAGTGTATTTGTACCTGTTAGCATCTTTGGGTTATTAATTAGCAACAGTAATGTGTAATTTCCAAAGGTGCGTTTGAAAGAAGAGCGATTCCTTAAAATCCTTCATCAGCAAAGATAACTTAATTTGTATGCATTGCATACATACATATGTATACGTCGAAATATTTAAACAATCTGCTGTTTGCAGTATTGTGGATAATATGATGTCACGGCGAAAAAAGGCATATATATTATTAAATACAAGAACGTGTTCCGTATATAAAGGGTGTGTTTTTAGTTGCCTTATTTTAAATTGCATGCTCTGGTAATTAAGAACGTTAGGGAGGTATGTCAAAACGCTACGAGACAAATAAAAATTTGGAACAACGTTCCTCATTCAACTCTAAAACTCGTATAAAAATTACAAATCGATTCATTAAATCGTTAAAAAGTTATTGAAATTTTAAAAAATTGTAATTTTACACGTCATTTTATGGAGATTCGTTAACCGAACAGATTAAATTTATTTTTATTAACAGAAAAAAAGCTACCAGAAATTTCAAACTTTTATAATAAGTAACTTGAACTCTGGAGAATCACTTTAGCGTAAGGTTATTCAAATTCACTAAATGGTTATTGAGGAAAAAATGAAAAATTAGCTGAAAATCTCGTTTTTACTTGATAATATAATGATAATATTTATAATTGTCTGAAATAAATGCAATTTTAAAGTTTTAATTATTATTTAAACATATTAAAAAGTTTTACGCTCATTATTAATAGAGATTGAAACTAAATATTTTTTTGTTTCGAAGTTGAAATCAAGGCATATTCACTGCCAAAAGTCAGTTAAAAATTTTCCATATTATTCGTTATTTCTTATTTTATTCAAAGTTTTTGGTCAAATTCCAAATTTTCTCTCAAACCGTACACTTTTTTTAGTATAGATAGTATTTATTTACCTCATGATACGCTGCAAAACCTAATTAATCACAAATTTCTAATTTTATGTACTCTTGTCTCCGATTGTACCTCCCAAACATCCTTAACATTTGAAAAACATAAAAACATACTTCTAATTACGATTTTTTTTTTAGTAAAACGTCTAGTGAAACTTAACTAGGTACTGGCTATATGTTTGTTGCTCTTGTTTCAATCGCACCCCAACGATCGAAAACTAACCAGTTATGCTTCGTCGTTTTTCGTAGACCAAATTAAGGACATGCTGTTGGCAGTCGGTACCTTCATGGTAGCAGAAAGCCTTTTGCCTTTGGGTTTTCCTTTTACATTTAATTAATTGTTTGCACACTCTATATCTCGATGTTCTGCATTTTGACGAGCATGAACTCCATTCTGACCATTTACTCCAAATTCGAGAACGCGTTGTTTTAGCTTCCGGTTTATTCTAGTAAACGAAATTTAAAATTCAAACGAGTCGCTCAAAAAGTTGATTGATTTTATTTATTTAAAATACGTAAACAAAATGGAGATTTCCAATAATGTTCTTATTGTTTAATCGAAAACAACAAATGAAGATAACGATTTTGCTCTAAAAGCTAACCAAAAAATAATAGCAAAAAGTAATTGTAGCCCTACGACCACTTGGCATATGTGAAGAACCTAAAACTAAATATGAAAACAAAATTTGGTCTAGTTAGAAATGAAGAGGTATTAGAAAGAATAGGAGAACAGAGGACTCCATGGAAGTCAATAAGAAATAGGCGAGGTAGGTTGATGGGACACCTTCTCAGGCATGAAGGTCTAGTCAGAGACATATAAGAGGCAGAAACGGGAGTTAGGAGGGCTAGAGGTAGACCTAGATTAGATTACTGTTCGCAAACAGTTAGGGATGTAGGATGTTCTAGTTTTAGGGAAATGCGAAGATTAGCTCAAAATAGGAAATAGTGGAGGTGCGTGTCCAACCAGTCTTAGGACTGACGACCTTATGATGATGAAAAAGGAGGTGGTAGGTAAAATATATTGTAAGCATTTCTTGGTCGTGTTAGATCTCTCTTTACCAAGATAAGAACCTGCTGTCGTTCTTATCTTTAAATGACGTGAAATTTTTTAAGACGCTTTTATTTCGTATAAAGTCGTTATTCAGAGGCGTTTATAATTAAATACCTTTCCACATTTAAAAGTGTTTTATACTTGTTCGATAGTTAACGTCAAATAACTTAATGATTTATAAAGTGCGCCTATACGTGAATGAATAATAATTGCCTCCTCCGAAGAATTCTAGTTGGATGTTAACTAACACTTGCTGATGGGAACATTACTATATACAGGGCGTCCCGTTTTGGTTTAAGATTCATTACTTTATTCCTGGTAGTTTAAAAGTGCTAGAGAACATGGCTATAAAGTTGAAAAACATGGGGAGGAAAAATATACACAATGTTGTTGAATTTTATCGCATTTTCAATTTGGAAAATTGATCCATATGATTTGAAACAACCAGGCATCAATTTAATGTGTATTTTTGATTAATTACCTCATCATTTTATACAATAAGGACGATGGAGTGTCTTAACTTCCCTGCGAAATTAAAGCCAAAAAGTGTTCAAAGTTATTTATTTTAAAAAAACAACCACCAACGTTTCACTCTAAGTTGTCTAGCTTTCTTAAGGTTACAAAACAAATAAATGATGTTGGAACTGATGTTGTCCTGATTCGGATCTAAAGGCAGTTGTCGATCGTAGTTGTTTCCTAACGTTTCGCTAGCAAGAGTGATTCTTCAATCTCTTTGATGAAATTCGTCGTAGGTGCTAGCGAAACGTTAGGAAGTAATTGTAATCGACGACTGCCTTTAGGTCCGAATTAAAATAACATCAGTTCACTTATTGGTCAAATGATGTTAGTATTATTTTATATAATTTTTAAGAAAATGAGCCACATTAATTTTATTATCGAAAATTACCTGGATGGAATGCAAATGGAATTTCTTTTTTCGGAAAGGTGCATATTAATTAACGAACCAAACTAACCCAATAATTCATATTTATAGGAAATCCACTAAGAAAGCTCCTAAAAGTTTAAAAGTTACGAAGTATTGGTACAGGTCGGACGGAGGAAGCTGGCGGAAATTTTAAAATGGCGTGGATGCGCTGTGGTAAAAGTAGGTAGTTTTAGGTATAATGATTGCAGCCCTCTTTCTTTAGTATCCCTAGATTAAATATTTAAATCAGGGATCAATTTGCAAATTTTTGTATGTTCTTGTGTAGCCTTAAAAAGCGCGCATCGGGGATGAAACGTCAGTGTGGTTTTCTAATCAATAGAAAATCTCATCCACGCTATCAATTCTGATTTCAACATACTACTATTAAAGAGTAGGTAATGGTACACCTTTAATTATTATTTTAGTTGTGTTACACTAATTTTATTCAACAAATATTGTTGGATTTCTAAAATTGAACGACTCTTTCCGATTTATCTAATATTTGTAGAAACAGAATCGAAGAAAAATTAATTGGCAAAAATGAACTAACCTGTTGACTGTATTTCTAATAACGAATACGCACTAATGAATGAAAACTGATATCTAGGAAGAAGTCTTGATGTCTTTCTGTTTAATTTCCCTTTCTACATTGATTATTCAACAGATTAACAGTTATGCAAATATTAACAACCGATCTGAGACACACTGTAGTTAACTAATACAGGCATTTCATACAGACATGTTGTACCTGCAGGTATGTAAGCCGATAACTTGAAAGCAGGTAAGCGAAGACATAGAAATCGTGACCGAACTCATTACAACAAGCTCACGTATCGACTAACAGAACCTATCAACAGAATCCAAGAGATAAACGGGACGGCTAAAAGGCAACCCATGGCGAAGAAATTGACTTATCTGACACGAGAGCCTTTTATTTACAAAAGCTCTCTTTAACAGGCTGCTTATACAATATCATAAGTTGACTTTGTTTTGTGCTTATTCACCTAAATAAATTGAAAGGTACAGATCACGATCTACTAGGTATATATAGGGTTGTTCGGAAAGTCATTTCGTTTTTTCCTGACAGAGGATTTAATTGTATTCTTTTGCACCCAACTTCACATTTAAGCCGTATAATTTTTATATGCTTTGAGAGCTCATATAGCAAGGCTTGTGTGTGAAAAATTCCAATTAATTCTACGCAGTAGTTTTTGGTTGGTGCCCTTTTAAATGTGGAGAGCGATAAGCAGCATTTTCGACATATCTTACTGTTTTACTACAGAAAGGGTAAAAATGCTGTTAAAGCCAGAAAGAAATTGACTGATGTGTATGGAGAAGGTGTGTTGACTGTACGCCAGTGCCAGAACTGGTTCGCTAAATTTCGATCCGGCAATTTTGATGTCGAAGATGCACCACGTTCGGGAAGGTCGGTTGAAGCTGATAAAGACGCGATAAAGGCATTAGTTGATGTGAACCGGCGAATAACAACACGTGAGATCGGATTGAGGTTAAATTTATCAAATTCAACAGTTTATGACCACTGGAAAGGCCTGGGATTATCCTCGAAGCTCGATGTATGGGTTCCCCATGTTCTCACAGACAGAAATCTGTGTCGCCGCATTGACGTCTGCGATTCGCTTCTCAAACGTCACGAAAATGATCCGTTTTTGAAGCGCATCATCACTGGGGACGAAAAATGGGTTGTATACAACAACGTCAAACGCAAGAGGTCATGGAGCAAAAAAGATGAACCGGCTCAAACCATTTCCAAAGCCGATATTCACCAAAGAACGAAATGACTTTCCGAACAACCCGATAGTATACTAGATATTTAAACCTTTCGCTTTTCAAGGTATTAACGGTTAAATCAATTCAGATCCCTTTAGATTTTGCGATTACCAGAGCAGTACCTACGTAATACGGAAAACAGAATTTTGTGAAAATATTAAAGTTTCTTAAAAATAAGCTTGAAATGTGCGAACTTTGGTTTGGTTTGATTTCTGATTTTGGTTGTTCCAAAAGCATATTACACATGATGAATCCAAATCTCAAGCTTTCATTTCATTTATAATCACGATGTGGTAGATTAACACATGATGATATAGAGCTTCAAAACTGATAACCGTTGTTATTTTAATATTTACAGTGTGATTTCCTAAAGCTGTCAACATTTTAAACAAGTTCCATCCACGAGAGCAAAAGGTTCTTAATTTTCACAAAAATATCTTTTAGTTACGAATTCTTTAACCTATTAGGCGCAAATAGTTTAAAATGAAAACCACTTAAAAGGGCAGAATGATGTTTTATCTTATTTATTAAAATGGGATGAATATAGAGTAAATTAGATATTCAACTAAATTTCACTGGATACCCTACCTAAAAGTAATCAGATAGCACAAGTGATGCTTCACAAAATACTCCATCTCGCTGTTTTATATGGAGATTCTGATTGTTAGTGGTAAATTTTTGAAAATTTCGACTCTGAAAGACTTAAGGTTGTGTATGTATGATTATATTGAAGAATTTTTGTTAAAAAGTTTTAGAAAATATATTAAAATCCTTCCGGAAACTCAAATAAAACTCCAATTATTTATATACCCATAAAGGGTAAAATGTTATAACCATTTGTACTTGAGCGAACGTTCGAAATGAGCCTAAGCAATAGCCCACGGTATATTGTATTAGAATATTTTGAAAATTGATACCTACAATTTCTAATCTTCTTCCCCTATTTTGCATTCAATTCCTTTTGATCAAAGCAATACTAGGGTTTAAATTTATTTTATTTGTGAATATATTTTTTGTCATGTTACCGCGGAAAGCTCATTTTGCGTGCTATAAAATAGGGAATATATGGCCTTTTTTCAGCCGTTTTTTAATCGGGAAGCAATGAAATTAGTCATTAAAAGAAAGATATCAGTTGTTCAATGACAATGACTTCCTATAACCTTTAAATCATATACTCTTATTTCGTCAACTATCAATTTAATGATGAGTTTTCCGTACAAACATGACAACATAGTATACATACCTCGGGAAAAAACAGGGTTATTTCAGACTTCATGTTAGCCTTCGGCTCGGGTGGCAATTCACATGCAGTCTGAAAAAACCCTGTTTCTACCTTCGAGACGTAATGTAGATACTATTTTCAGTGTTTGGACTTAGATTATTTTGAATTCATTTGGATTGTTTCATTCGATCGGATTTTTACCATTTTGTTTCATGTCGTCTTAATTTTCAGATATTTCAATAAATTGTATGAGCAATGGAATTTTTAATGGCTATCATACTAGCAGACCATAAAGTACATACACCTTAAAATTTGCTTCCTAATCGTGATAACAAACAAAACATTTTCATATTGAAAATTATCAAAAAGTTTGATTCCCCCTAGCGGGGTCATCTTAGGTGTTGATATGTAAATTCCTTTAATCAAAACTGACCCTATATTAATATAAATCTACCCTGAAAGTTTGGTTAGAAAATATTGGTGGTATCGTAGAATTGCGGTCATCCGGATAATCAAATGATGATATTGTATGATGTAGTAATGATACAACTTTACACAGAATTGTACTCAACGATTTTCAAAATATTCTAGCACACCTAGTACATCATCGTGGGCCATCGATTGAGTCTACCCCAAACCTTCGACTGGGTACAATTGGTTATTGCAGCTTACCCCTTATAATTCTTACCTCCATTTGTACTATGTGAAGTTCATTTCGTTCTGGTTTGTGTCTGGATTTCCTCTTGCACCTCTTCCGTTTGCATACCCGCTCTTCGTAAATCCTGGAAGTGCTGCATTTCGGACTGATGCAGTCCTTAATTCTTCTTTGTATGCACTTTTCGCACCTGGACCATGAAGACCATTTCGAGTACAACGGCATTCCATGCGACGCATGGTGCGATCCATTTCTGTAGCCGAAACTAGTCGCGACCTTATTATTTTTAGTTGAAACGGAAGAGTTATGATGATACTCCCGGTCGTTTTCCAAGCCAAGGGACATGTTTTGTGCCAATATCCGTAGCACGTTGGCCTCTATCTGCAAAAAACGAAATAAAACACGTGTTTATTTCAGTTGCATAGTACGCGCGTTTTGACGACTGGACAAGGCGCGTAGCCAAAATGCCTGTGTTGGTGTATTTTTAATAGCGCGAGCTGCTATTTGATGAATTTATCGTAACAATTGTCCCGAAAAGATGCAGACGACAGATTTTGTTGATTTTGTTTGAAATAGATACAAAGAATGAGTCGTTCAACTCTCTTGTTGTTTCTGATACTACAAGTAAAAATATAAATGCAACACTGTTGTTGTCTACTATTTTAAAATCGGCCATAAAATACGTTTAGATGCCAGCATAGTTGACGTTCTACACGAGAAAATTCAAAGGATTCATTTACAATAATTATCATTCCAGCGTTTTCAAATAAATTACTTTCTCCAAATTAGCTGCTATACGAACAAGCTGAAAATATTTTACTACAAAAGTCATATTTTTAACAAAAATGCATGTACTTATCAGTTGGAGGGTAATTCGCAAACACAAAAACAACAAAAATTAATTAATCCTTAGATTTTTCCACTTGTATGTATAACATTTAGGTATTATTATTTCATGAGCCCGCAATTATTATTGTCAACATTGTTACATGGTTGGCATGGTTTGATAATAATTTTCGGTTTATAAATCATCCTATATTAATTTAGATAATAACACTAAAATAGTATACCCTAAGTAGGCTGACGAAATGGCATCAAAATATCGCAAATTAAGCCAAAAAAGTTAGAGTATTAACCTTGTCCAATATTAATACAGTGAACGATTAAACAAATAGAATACTAACAATTAAAAGTTTTAGAATATAGATTTGATCACAGTCCCAACAATACTTAAGATTTTTCAATAGAAGATGAGATTATGTAACGGTGAAACCAAAAATCATCACCTGAAGATACTTAATTTAAGTGAAACAATTGTTGTGTGTGTGAACAAATATATCTTGAAACTTTCTTTTGCTATTATTTAAATTAATTATGAATCAGTTTGAAGAAGTAGAAACTATCACAATCTATAATTCACCTTATATTGTGTTCCGTGTATAGGAAAATGAATTCAAATATTAATCTCAAAATTAATTTTCCATTTATACCAACCATAAATCACCTCAAGTTAATGAGGAAAATTTTTTGCTGTTGTCACACTCTCTCCATTAATTTGTGGTAATTTATAGTGGTATAAATGGAAAATGAATTTTCACATTAATATTTGATATATAGGGTTGTTCGGAAAGTCATTTCGTTTTTTTTTGTGGAAATGAAAGACAGTTTTCGTATAATAAACAAATACTTTATTAAATTATATATTGACCGTTCTGGTCCAACACTTTTTGCCATCTTTCTGGTAGTAGCATAATTCCACGCTCATAAAATTTTT